CTGAACAGATATTCCCCCCACCTAGTACTATTAATCCCCCCCGCGCGGTGACGCAGCCGCCTGTGGCGCACGTCCCCTCGCGAAGCCGGGCAGGTGCCGGGCGCAGGGCTGCCAGCTCACGGGGCGTGGGGCGGCCGTGGGACCCATCCCGCTAACCCGCCTCGTCCTGCACAGCCCTCCCTCTCCTGGCTACCTCCTCCCCTCCTGGCCAAGCCGCCCCCTCCTGGCTAACGCGGTCCCCTGTCCCCCCAGGATGCCGACAGGTTCACGTTGCCATCCCACTTTGAGGAAGGGAAGGAGAAGTGCCCGTACGACCCCTCCCGCGGCTACACCGGCCTCATCGTGGGTAAGCAGCGCCTTGCCCAGGGCCAGCAGTGACACCAGGGATGTGGCTCCCTGTCCCCATCCCCGTTGCAAACGCGGGCCTGCTCTCTCCCCCTCCTGCACACGTGAGTGCTGCTGCTTTCGGGTGGTCCATGCCGTCCCCATGGGCCAGGGCTGCGCTCATGGCTCTGCCCTGCCCAGATGGCGGCCTGTACACGGCCACGCGCTACGAGTTTCGGAGCCTCCCCGACATCAGGAGGAACCTGCACCAGCGGCCCCTGAAGACGGAGGAGTCCCCGCTGCACTGGCTGAACGGTGGGTGAACCGGGTCTGGCGTCGTGGGTCCTGCCTGGGTGGTGGGACACGTTCTGTCACCTTGAGAGGGACCAGGGCACAGGCCCCACTGCAGCTCTCCAACCTCCATCTTGGCTCCCTAGACGCTGAGTTTGTGGCCTCTGTGCTGGTCCGCGAGAGCCAGGACAGCCCCGTGGGTGATGATGACAAGATTTACTATTTCTTCACGGAGCGGGCTGGCGAGGAGACCACGTCCTTCTTCGACAAGAGCCAGGCGGCCCGCGTGGCCCGCGTGGCCCGTGTGTGCAAGGTAATGACACAGTGAAGTGCCAGGGGCTCCATGTTTGCACCTCGAGGGTCCTTGAGGCAGAGGCTGAGCAGGGACACATGCCCAAAGGGGAAACCAGAGCTTGACTCGTTTCATCCCCCCTGCTCCGGTTAAACTCGGGCTCTAGCTCTTGCCTCAGCTTCTCTGGGGCCATGTGTACGGGACATGGTGGTGGGAAGGAGAAGGGGGACCAGCTCCGGCCATGGGCCGGCATCCCCTCTTGGCCCTTGCAGAGTGACCTGGGCGGGAAGAAGATCCTGCAGCGCAAGTGGACGTCCTTCATGAAAGCACGCCTGGTCTGCTACATCCCCTACTACGAGGTGCTGCGCAGCGTCTGCAGCCTGGACGGCGGCGCCTGGCCCAGCACCGTCTTCTATGCTGCCTTCACCCTCTCGGCGCAGTGGTGAGCAGGGCTGGGGCGGGAAACGCTGGGCACGGGTGTGTGGGACGCGGCCCACGCCGCAGGGAGGTGCTGCCGTGTGCCCCACGGCGCGCTCTGCCCCCCAGGAGGACCATGGAGGCCTCA